ATCAAATAACTACAAATCACATTTACTCATGCACTCAGGGGTCGTTCATAAATTATGTCAGGATATTTTGCCATTTTTTTAAAGCCTCCTCTACTCACATGTCAGGCAGCTGTAATTTAATTTTGGGCACATGTCGGGTACTTCAGTATCCGCTCTTACTTCCAAGCGTGACGTCATTTCAAGACGGCTCCCTATCTACAAAAAACAGGGTATCAAAGGATGGATCCAGAGAGATTAATTCCAACAGTTTTTTTTTTTTTTTTTTTTTTTTTTTTTTTTTAATGTCTGAACTGTAACCATTTACCTCTCATCCCTAATGAGATGTTCGTAACTGTGGACAACCCTGCTTCCCCCATCTCTCACAATCCAATAAAATTCACTGTCAATGGGTCAGTTGCGCTGGTCTAAGAATCGTGTTTTGATGTTTCATTCTTGCTGATCAGCTAAAAATAATAAGGTCTGTCTAAACAGCAACTTTCCTCGTTCAATATTAACCGAGATATATCGCGCTTTGAAAAATTCGGTTTATGACGTCATCCCCCGCGGTAGCGACACCTTTGGTTCCTTCCACATTGCTTTCATCAATCTAAGAGACACATATTTCCACTGGTTAGGTACTCAACGATAAATTCGGATGAGAGCAAGACGGAAGAAACCGAGGGTGTCACTACCGCGGTAGATGACTTCATAAACCGAATTTTTCAAAAGCGTGACATCTCGGTTAATACTGAACGTAGAAAGTTGCTGCTTCGACAGATCTTATTATGTTTTGCTGATCTAAAAGAATCTAGCATCAAAACATGATTCTGTGACCAGCGCAACTGATCCATTCTGAGAAAAACCGAGAAATCAGTTTCTTTTTTATGAACGTTGGCAAAATAATCTACCTCACTGTATTTGGTGCTTTCTCTAACTATATAATAGCGCAGGATGTTAATATCAGTATCGCAAGTTACGCTCTTCATAGCATATCATACCCCTTAGTGCTCATTCATAGGCGTATCCACACACTTCGACCGGGGGGG